ATCCTAACGAAGTTTTTCTAGGTAGCAGAGAAACTACAACAACATGCAAAGATAAAAATGTAAAAAGTGAAAAGCTAATAGGCTCTTGAAAAAAACGGTATTATTTGTTAGGCTAAAAAAAAAATACTAAAATTTCAAATATCAGACACTTTGGAAATAAAAAACAGAAGGACCAAAAGCTATTTCCAAAAGAACACTAATGCTCTGTAATGTAATGCTTAGACTTTCCCTTAGATTTCAGTTCACTACAAAGGGACCTTCAGTTGACTTCCCATGGCAGGGTGGGGACAGAGTGGGGATGCTATGAGAACCCAGGGCAGAAGCAGCAACACAGCCATTTAAACTACAACAAGGATTTTAACATGACCAGTGCAAGGCTCCTTTCACAGTTTGGCACCTCCACATCCTGAGCAGAGCTGCCTGACTTTGCTATTAGCAACCACTGATGAATTCTAGTTGACATCAGTGTGATTAGAGGGAAGAGTTGGTGAGTGTTTCTAGCAGAAGGTGAACAAGTTCCCAAATGGCTTTCAGGACTCTTTGGGCATCTAGAGAGAGATGTGAACAGCCAGTTATGAAAAGCAGCCCCCATCAGGCTAATCTGGTCATCTGATGTTCAGCTAACAGGAGCCATGCTGACTAGAGGAGCCAGAACAGACCCAGCCCTAAGCCAGTTATCAACTTGGCGTTCTCATCATGCTGGTAGCAACTGCCTGAAGGCAGCAGCTTCAAGCTCTATCAGAACTGGGTTTCAGGTGAACATTTTTCAGGGAAATATGTTACCGCCTCTTCAGATGCTATATCTCTTCAGAGGAAACACTCTGTTTGGATCAAATAAAATACTCTACAGATTTGGACATCCACGCTATCTACTTGGATAGCCTCAGATCCCACAGGTTAAGGGCTCAGTCCTACAAGACTGCCCCCCCCCCGCCAGCACCAATCCCCACCTTCCCCCCACACACTTCAAACATCAGTTTGTAACCCAGGCTCTTCTTACCTGTGCTTCTTGATTTGAGGTTCCAATGGTCCCCTGGAACTCAGAATGCCAATTACTAGTCTGGGTTGTCACCTGCACTTCTGACCAACTGGTTATATCAGAGGTTCCCCCAAACTCCCTCCTTTGTTTTGATTAATTTGCTAGATGAGCTCACAGAACTCAGAGAAACATGTTACTGTACTTACTAGATCACTGCTTTATTGTAAAAGGCTAACTCAGGGACAGCCAGATGGAAGAGGTACACAGGGCAAGGTATGTGAGATGAGATTCAGAGCTTCCACACCCTCTTCCAGCATCACTCTCCCAACTGTTAGGAAGTTGCAGGAGGAAATCACGAGGCCAGAATGGTGAGGGATTATGAATTTACTGAATCATCCGCACACCAGGTGGCTGAGTCTGGATGGCTCCAGCACCCAATGACAGGAGGTGGCAGTTTTTAAAGGACTTTAGGTGGGCTTTTTCTGGGCAGAGAACTCTCTGTGCAGGTCCCGAGGGGAGGGATAAGGGAATGTGAGCTCAGCAAGTAAAGTATGGTCTCAGCCAAAGAGAATGTCCACAGTGAAATGGCCTGAAATGTCAGTTTCCCGGGGAGGGGAATGGATTCACTTATTTGACCAGACCTAAAAGGAAAAAGTAATGTGATCTATTGCTTACCAAAAGTAAAGTATGGTCTCAGCAAAAGGGAATGTCCATAGTGAAATGGCCTGAAAAGTCTGTTCCCGGGGATGGGTATGGATTCACTTATTTGACCAGACCTAAAAGGAAGAATGATGTGATCTAAGGCTTACCAAAACAAACTACACTAATCCTTAGTTTCCTCATATATGAAAGAGAAATAATGAAATTAACAATAAAAAAACCTCATATGTCTTGCATTAGCACATATTAGAGACTTTTAATTCTTTTGGGAAAGTCCTTATAATTACATGACACAATTCATCTAAAGCACATAGTGCATTGCCTTCCATATTGAATATACTTAGAATATTAATTAACTATAAAAGGCCATGCAGGAGCTATTTCAACACTGCCCAGGCCCCAGCTGGGGCCCAGTGCTAGCGCTCCTGACACCCATGGGGTTCCTGCTGGAGAGACAGCTGCCACGCCACACGAGGGCACTGAAAGAGTGGGGTGCCACCATTGCCAAGGACTGCCAGAGCCTGGTGACCTTGCTGTGAGCTTGGCTCATGGGGCAGCGCCGCCCCTGGCTGGAGACACAGAGACACAGGGCCGCTGAGATGGCCTTTGTCGGGACTTCAGAGCTCCAAGGCCTCCTCGGAGCAGACTGCTGGCTCACGCTTCTGTCTTGCCTTACACTAACACTCTTAGCCTATTTGGGTACAAAATTATTGTGAGTTACAAAAGTTTTACCCCATTTCTATCTGCCTACCTGTGACTAGTCAAGTGAATTTGAGACGTGAAAGAACAGAGTAAAGAACCTTCTGAGACCTTTTTTACTGGCATCCAGAAAAGAAGTCCTGTGGTGATACTGTGTTTTAGCTCCTGACAAATGCTCAAAGGTGTTTAGACAAAGGCACTTGAGTGGCTCTTCTCTGCCTGGGGGCAAATGGGAATTTAAAGGCTTACTGCTCCCATGAATAGTAAAAGAAACTGCATTTCTTAAATGGGAAAACGGTGCTATTTACTACATTTAGATTAATATGAGTATGAGACTGTCATCTATTCACAATTTCATGTGCTACTGCTGGCCAATTTTCCAGGCACTTGGTCAGGTGTGAAATGATATCAAAAGTGCTCTAATTACCAGTCTAACAAAGAACGTAAGTGCAGCACCTTTATAAGCCTTTTCTTAAGCCTTTTAAATTGAATTTTTGTGTTTCTAGAGTTAATATTAAGACGTTAGCCCTAGCTGGTTTGACTCAGTGGTTAGAGCATCAGCCTGTAGACTGCAGGGTCCTGGGTTCAATTCAA